ATATATATATAAACCTATACATATATAATATACACATTGTAAATACCTCCTAAGCATGCACTCCTTCGCTCCCGCTCCCCCTCCTCCACCCCCCTCCTCCGGGCGCAGCGGCGAGGAGCAGACGCCGCGCCCGCCGCCCGCCCGCACCCGCGCCCGTGATCCTCGTCGTCGGGCTCGCGTCACGCCCCGTCGTCGCCGCGCCGGGGGACCGCACTTCGCCTCCAGCCTTCCTTCCTCGCGGCCGGATCCTCCACGCGGCCGCTACGCCCTTCTCCAGGTTGGTTCCCGGGCTTGTGGGGGCGTTTGTATGGGGTATTCGATTGTGTGGGCATTCGATTGTATGGGGTATTCGATTGTGTGGGCATTCGGTTGTGGGGGAATTCGGTTGTGGGGGCATTCAGTTGTGTGGGTATTCGGTTGTGTGGGCATTCGGTTGTGTGGGCATTCGGTTGTGTGGGCATTCGCTTGTGAGGGCATTCGCTTGCTGCCTCTTCCCCGTATCTCCGTGTCCACTATGTCCACTCGCCCTCTCCTCGCGCATCCGCAGCGGGAAAGGGACACGGGAATGCGAAAGGACCTCGGAGTTCCTTCTCTCAGCAATGGCCGCGCACAGGTCTTTCGCGCCGTATAGTCGGCAGAAGGAACGGGAGGTTGAGCCACGGAGGCGCGAGTCAAGATGCGAGTCGGGCGATGCCTGGTGCGGAGGTTCTGAGCCTGGGGTCCAAGGAGGGGTGTCAGGAGGGGGTCCAAGGAGGGGTGTCAGGAGGGGGTCCAAGGAGGGGGTCCAAGTAGGGGATTCAGGAGGGAATCCATGAGGATCAGATTGAATCAAAATTACTTTTGGCATAAAAATGAGTGTGATTTTATAGTGTTTACTTTCAAGTTTAATGATGCTTTGTGCATCTCGTATATCTGTGAGCTAATTGAGTCTTGATCAATGAAGGACTTTGTGCATGTTGCATACAAAGCTTGTGTTTATGTGAATATTTCTGGCTTTCATCATATTCTTAGAGGTTCCGTGACTAAAAAGGTTAAGAACGACTGGTCTAATGGATCGAATTTATTGGCTGGTTTCGTCCCCAGCACGCGAGCGGACAGTACATAGACTCTTCTAGAATGCACCCGACTGATTTTGAATAAGCTTGATTTTCAATTCACACCGATAATCGCTATCCCTCGGTAGCCTCTGGTGGGGCGCGGATAGGATGGGCATCCCTTTGTCAGTGGATGTGGAGCAAGCCACGATGGTCCCGCTGAACGCTCGTGCCTTCCGCGGACGACCGAATTCACTCATACAAATGATGGAAATGGGCCACTACAAGACTCTACTTGCAAAGAGCCTTGAAACCCACCGTCTCGGCAGATTCATTTTTCTTTGACTAACTACATGAAGAATAAAACCGTTCGCTGAGGATACGAACTGAATGCTTCCATCACGAGGCCCGATCGCCCCCTCACGTTTTGGAATACAGTGGTGAAAGCGGACGAACGCGGTTTTGCCGTATCCTGTCAGGGCGAAGCGCAACAGTAATACGTAAGAGTGAATGCCCATCTTCATACCTTACTCTTACCCACACCATAAATGTATGGACAAGAAACAGGTACAACAGTGAAAAACCTTCAGCGTATTCTCATTCCCCTCACAACTTTCGCACTTTTTTTTAATATGCGTCACACTAAGAATACTGAGAGGAAAATCAGGAAAGTGCGTTCTGGGCCTCGGCGTCGTTCCATTATTTGCGCACGTCCAAGCGGCCTCTTGCGCTCTCCCCCGAATGTACGTATTCAGGCAGAAGGGGGATGGACGTGATGTTGATAACACTGAGCAGCCTATTGTGTGACATTTAAAACCCCTGTGTCATCATTGCTTTGTGTGACAAACCGATTCATCTGGTCTGTATTAGTCAAACGCACGCTCATTGATCCTAAGGGCAGTTCTGCCAAAACATTACAGTTAAAAGGTGTTCATTTAAGTATTGAATAAAAGCTTGTGCCATGAATATTAGTGAATGATTTGCACACGAATTATGGTACTGACAAATACATTACTCGCATGCATATACAGTGGAATGAGTGTCCAGGATATTACTATCAATTACATTTATAACGTCGTCCGTTATTGTATGTTTATATGTTACCTAACTATTATCCTATTCTGTCTTTAATGCTTGATTCGCAGAGTGCAACTGCGGAACGTTCATTCGATATACTTTCGTTGAAGCAGACTTTGTGGTTCGCCAAAGCCAATCCCCGGTTCATGCAGTTATGGCAATAACCTG